TACACAGGACCACCTATGTCTGTTCAAATGCTCCTTGAGCTCTGGCAGTTTTGGGCCATGCCCACCATCCTTTGGCTAAGAGCTTTTCCCTAATCCCCAACCAGACCCTCCCCTGATGCAGCTCCAAGCTGCTCCCTCAGGCCCCTCCGCTCCCTGTGAGGAGCTGCAGCCGCCATCAGGCCTCTCCTCAGCTCCTCTGCTCTGAGCTGAGCAAACCCAGGGACCTCATCTGCTCTCATCTACATCTTGCCCTCTAGACCCTTCCCCATCTTTGTAGCCCTTCTTTGGCCACATTCTAATAGTTTTATGTCCTGTTTGTACCGTGGCACTTAAAACTGCACACAGTACACCGATGCAGTGCAGAGCAGACAACAGAAGAGAAGCTGTCTCCATCTGCAGCTTGTTAAGCTTCAACACTGCACTGCTGTTTGTCTCATTTTTAAACTTGTCAAAATTTTTGATTTTCCCAAGTTTTTCTCCTTCGAACAATGTGACAAAATTACTTCTAGACTTACTGTTCATGAACAGGTACTTCATAGGCATGCATAAGTGTAGAACAGCAAGAGAATGGCAGTCAGAACAGTTTGTGGAGATGTGTTCGTCTGTACAGAAGCACAGTAGGTCATTGGCATGACAACTATGAGAGCCACTCTTGGCCTCTTCATTTTCCTGCTTTTATATGCTTGGATTTCATAATTGGTGTGATGATTATAAATATTACAGCTTCCCTATCATAATTCTTAACAATTTATTTTATTATAAATCTGCCCAGATGAGACGGTAATGAGTCCATAAAAAGATCTAAACTGCTCGTTAGAAAAGCATTGTTCACAGGTTAATTAAAACGTGTCTTCTATGCGAAGTATTTATTTCTTCATTAAGCTGGCCATTCTGCAAAGTCTGTCTTCTTTTCAACGTGTGTTTTATACAAATGTATACCCCGTGGCAGATTTACAGGTTGAATAGATACACTAAACTCAGTCATAATAACCCTCACATCATTAGGGGCCTTGAGTACTCTTTGCTAGATGTTCACTAGATGCATAGATGAACATAAAACTGCACATGCAGGCCTGCAAGAGCAAACTGCTGACTACAACTTAGGACTGGTGTATGGAGATCTGTGAGCATACTACAGCTTAGAAAAATAAGCTTGAATTTTCTGATACAGTCCGTTTTTATTGATGTCACTGTGAATTTAGGTCAGATCTTCAAGACCTATATACAAGTATCTGACAGGTCATGATTGCATGTATGTATGCAAACATAAATGCCCTCACTTGGTCACAAGAGATAGCTAATCATAATAAGTCATAATTAAGGGAAATTTATCTGTGGCTTCTAAAAAGACCAAATGCAGCAGTACTTCATATCACAGCTGGCACCTTGGTATGCTTTAGTGGTTAGAAATAAGATTCTTTAGTAATCGTATTGCAAACAATTAAAACACTGATATTATTAAGGATGATGCATAGAGCCCATAAGCACAATATAATCCATCCACCCTTGCCAATGAGCTTAACAGAAGCCATCTTGGATAATCAGTGCCTCAGGAAAGCTTGGCCAGAAATACTGTGACAAAACTCTGCTTCTTCCAAAATTGTCAGGAGCTCTTTCATCTCAGGATCTAAGGTTTTCACTGGCAAAAATGGCTAACGGCTGTGATGCTCTCTACATTTTGGTACAGTCACACTGAGGTTACTCCAGGCTGGGTTTCAGCAGGTGATTGGCACCCCCTGTGTATCCTGACACATTCCTGTTATCAGAGAGCCAAGCAGGACACCAGTCCTTCCCGGATTTACTTTTTTTAAGGCTGCAGCTGAAATAGGCACATCAATTAAAATGCTTAATTCTGGGTGTTTTCTGTTCCTGCACTCCCTCTTCTGGCTTTCCAGAATTATTTAGCAAACTTCTTACGCTCACAACATCAGAACAACTCCAGAATGTTATGACACAGCACAGTTACAACGACAGCACGTGTTTGGCAGCAGACACCATCGGAAGGACTGCTATTAAATAAATTAGAACATGCCCACAGCATCCACACACTTCTGTAAATATACATTCCAAGCAAGTTTTGGAGAAAAAAATAATACAGCTACTGGAGCAATAGTTGCAATGTTGTCTGTGGGTGTGCAGGGGGGCTTCACTGGGCTGTGTGTACTGGCTCTCTTGCTAGCTGTCTCTCAGGAACATTCATGATAACAGTGCACTTACCTTTGTCCCCAGAAACTGGAAAGTACTTCACATATTTTCTTCTGAACTGAATAACAATAGCACTGTTAAATAACCATTCTCCCACACCATTTGAAATCAAAATATTGTAGTCATGTACAGCTGAAATTGATTTTTTACGATTTTCATTGATGAACCCGAGAGACAAAAGAGGAAGATCAAAAATGTGGTGCTAAAAGTTTAAAATATAAAACATTTTGAGCACTGTTAATTCTTAATATTATTCTAAACATCCCTCCTACTGCCAGATAAATGTGCTGATGCCAACCCCTGAGAGAGGACACATGAAAACAGCTCCTGCACCAACAGTGGAAGGTGGGGTAAATAAAACTTTCATACATCTCACTGCATATTTACAATGTCCTTTTCTAAGCTGTAAACAATAAATAAAAAAGCCTGCTTTTATTTCAGGAATATAATACAGGTACACAGACACAGAAACAATCTCAATATCACATAGCCCAGCTGCACAATGAACAGCCATCTGCTTGGAACTGCTCCCGTCCTTCCTTCAGTAGACTACTGAAGGAAGTAGACTATTTGGTCATCAGGAACTCTCGAGACGGTTTGATAAGTGGCTTCGTAACACAAAATCATAGAATCATTAAGGTTGGAAAAAACCTCCAAGGTCATCTAGTCCAACTGCCAACCCATCACCAATATTGCCCACTAACCACGTCCCTCAGTGCCCCATCTACGTGTTTCTTGAACACGTCCAGGGATGGTGACTCTACCACTCCCCCAGGCAGCCTGTGTCAGCACCTCACCATTGCTTCAGAGAAGAGTTTTTTTTTCTAAAATAATATCTACGTGGACCTTGCATTTTCAGTTTCAGAGTTTTGCCTTAACAAAGCAGTGTAAGAGGGTGCTTTGAAATGTATATTGATCATAGGAAGCAACACATCCCAGTATGGGTAATGTCTGGCTTCTCTGTGGATTTTACCATTGGGGGAGGTCCCAAAGCCCAGTGTCTCTGAGGAAGTGCCTCATAACCATGGGGAATTCCTGCCATGGAGATGTCTCAGATGCTATGCAGAATCATGCAGTGCCTCTTACAAATACAGCAGCGCGTGGCACAGGTGAGTCATGCCACTTTCTGCCTCATGCCCAATTAATTGCTCAGAGCTCGTGTAACTTGTGTACCGTTACATGGCACGTTGCAGCCTGCAGGACTCACTTTTGCCAGTCCTTCTGCTGCTTGTACTTCTTGTGACAGAAGTGCAACCCTGTGGGGCCAGGAGCCCCTGAACGCTGCTGTATCTCACTGCTAGCTGCGGTCTGAGGGACTGGGCCCTGCAGGGATGATTTCAAAGACAACAGTGGAGCTGTCAGCACATAGAGAGCTGCTCTTATGTGGGACTATTGGAAGGATTAGGGCCAGTGGTTTGTTGCATTTGGCCTTTGTATGTCATGTAGTACTTCTGAAGCACAGTTTCTTAGGGCAGAGAATCACATAATCATTTGAGCTGGAAGGGACCTCTAAAGGTCCAGCTGCCCTGCAATGAACAGGGACATCCACAGCTCCTTCAGGTTGCTCAGAGCTGCTGGGCAACCTGTTCCAGCATCTCTTATAAAAAACTTCTTCCTTCTGTCCAATCTAAATCTCTCCTCTTTTAGTTTGAAACCTTGTCCTATGAACTGTGTGAAGACTCTGCCCTGTTCTTTCTTATAGCCCCCCTTTAGATACTGAAAGGCTGCTATTAGGTCATCTCGGAGCCTTCTCATCTCCAGACGCAGCTCCTTCAGCCTGTCCTCACAGGGGAGGCGTTCCATCCCTCGCATCATTTTTGTGGTTCTCTGGATGCACTCCAGCAGGTCCACGTCTCTCCTGCACTGAGGACTCCCCATCTAGACGCAATTCTCCAGGTGAGGCCTCACCAGAGCAGGACAGAGGGGCAGGATCACCTCCCTCAACCTGCTGACCACGCTTCTTTTGATTGCAGCCCTTTTAAAAAGAGTAGAAATTTTACTCCTCCGCTTTCCAGCGAGTGGCACAGCTGTCAAACCTCGGGGGCCGGCCGTGCGGGGCGGTGCGGAGCTCCCAGCCGTACCGCTGCCGCCCCCTCCCGGCCGGGCCAGGCGCGGCGGTGCTCGGGGCGCCCGGTGCCGGGCTCGGAGCCGCTCGATAGGGTCGGGGCGTAGCGTGAATAAGTGCCCGCCGCGGGGCCGAGCGGCGGTGCGGGTTCTGCTGGTTAAAGGAATGAAACCAACCGTATTGTAAAGGCAGTGAGGACGGTGGGAACTCTCCGCGGGAGCCGTGAGGGAAGAGGCACGGCCGCGGCCGGAGAGAGGCGGCCGGGCCCGTCCCGTCCCCACAGGTGCCGGAGCCCCGCGGGCTGCACGTCGCGGCCCGGCCAGCAGGAGGAAGGAAGAGGAAGTGCGAGCGGCGCCGGCGGGGTACCGCGGGTCCGGGGCCGCGGGATGGGATAGCGCCGCTCGCCGCGCTCCGAGACGCCGAGGAAGGGGGCACGGCGGCGGCTGGATCCGCTCGGCGGCGGCGCGCTGCGAGCGCGGGGCCGCCCACAGCAGGAGGTAAGCGGGAGGGCTCGGGGCTGCGGCGGCGGCGAGCGACGGGACGGGGCGGGGCAGGCGGCGAGCACCGCACCTGCCCGCAGCGGAGCGGGCACGGCGCCCGGCGGCCGTCGCTGCGAGGAAGACGAAGTGCAGCCCGCCGGTGTCAGAGCGGCGCGGCCTCGGCCAGCGGCCGCGGGGCGGCCCGGCCTGCCCGAGAGCCCCGCCCGCCGCCCTGCCCTGCCCTCACCGCCGCGGGCCGCCCCCGGCGTTCGGAAGCCGGCGGCGCGGGGCGGCGGGGTGAGTGGCGAGCGCGGGAGGCGGCCGGAGGAGCTCGGCAGCAAGTGCGTGCTGCGGGAGGGGGGCTCGGCGCGGTACGCGGCGGGGCAGCGCCTCCTCCGCCGCTCGGATCCGGGGAGCGGTGGGGCCCGCTGTTGGCGAAGTTGTGATCCCGGCGGTAGCGGTGATGGATCCCGCGGGTTTAGGGCTGTGCAGCCCGGTAGGGTGGGTGGGTGTCGAGTCCCGAAGGCTGTGAGCGTTCCTGGCACGGAGCCTTCGCAAAGTTTATTTTGAATATCTTTTCCTTGCAGAACTGAGACAACTGTCCAGCTCTCCCCTGAGAATGATACAAAGTAAATATAGGAGTTCCTGAGAAATAACAGTGAGTATATTTCGAATCAGTGCTGTTTTGTTGTTAACATTATAGGAATAGCCCAGAACCTGCCGGTGCTCGGGCTGTGAGTGCCAACGATAATAAGAGCGCAGGAAGCCCAGCGCGTGTTAATTGCCTCGGTATAAACATGGTTGCCTGTAGGCTGCGTGTCGTGATACACCATTCACAGTGCAATTTCAGGATGGGGATGTTTTTAGATATGCTCGTAAGCGTGTGGATTCTCTGTGTCTGTGTCCTCAGCTGCCTGATCGCCCCCTGTTACAATATTTATCTTTGGTGGAGAGGGGAAATTGAGTAAGAACTGCACAGAGCTTAGCGCTGTTCTATGAGGACGTGGTTTCCTTCTCTTCCTCTGAGCTGCTCTCCTTCTTCCCCCAAGGCACAGACACGCGTGCCGTGCCGCCTCAGCTTCATTATGTAACTGTGTGGGCATTTATGGATCTGTCACCGTTCGTGTCCCTTCCATCCTCTGTGCCGTTCCTGCCTGACTGAGGGAGTTTGTGGAATATTGCACAGGAAAAAGAAAAAGAAAAAAAAAAAAAAAAGGTTTAATTTTCATGCAGTTCCTTCAGTTAGAGCGGCAGGTTTGCTTGCTTGCTTTGAAGGTCGTCTCTCCTTAATTACCCCTTCCCCCTCCTTTTCTGAAGCTGTATAAGTAGGTGGTAGGCAGCTAATCTGATGGCCGGCACCCAGAGAAGGAGGAGGAAGAGCAGCGGTGGCTGCTGGCTGGCAGAAGTCCCTCTCGTGTGCTGTCAGGAAAATACCATAACACACATTTCACAGAGCTCTGAGAAGCACTGCAGCAACTTTAACAACTCACCATTCAGAAATCAGATTCATGCTAAAGTATGAAGTGTAACAGGTGTTGGAGATGCTGCTGTCAGCGTGGTCTGTGGGTTCCTGTGTGTGAATGGGATATTTGGAGATGTACCTGGTGGGCAAGTGCTCCTACTGGGGAGGCTGCAGGAGACAAGTTGGTTTGCTTTTGTCTCTTTTGTAATCTGTTTGAAAGTCGCTATGCTCTCTTCTTCTCTAGCTTGCGGCTTAGGTGTGTCATTGTCTGAGTGTTGTATAGAGAACAGGAGGAAAAAAATGAGCAGGTTTATATCCTTACTGTTCTACTTCCCCTCCTCCCCCCCTCAATGTTCTGTACATGCCAGGAAAAACTTTATAGGTACACAATTCAAATGGATTTTGAGGGACAGGAAAAAATCTTCTTACCTACTTATTCTGGAGTCTTATGAAAGTATCTGCAGTTCAGTAGTTGTGATTATATAAGGAAGTACCCTGAAAAAACCTTATAATGCCACATAGCTTCTACATGAAGATGTAACTGTTGCTGAACCGCTGCTGTGTGCAGGGCACTTCCTGACAGCAGAACCATGCTGCTGCAAATTGCAGATGGAGAAACGCCGTGCTCCGCCCTTCCTTCCGCCCTTTGTTTTTTTCTACCTCATAGGAGCCTCTTTGATTTTGAGTTTTGGGCCCACAGGCTTTCTCTTGCACAGTGTCCAGCCTGCAAAGTGAAGCTGGACTGTGATCTGTTTTCCATCTTGATACAGAGGCAGCAGGGTTCTCTTGTTCACAAGATGTGTGGCTTTCTTCTTTTGGTGCCTCAGACGGATGTGTCCAGTGGCGGACTGAGAGGTGTGATGTCTGCAGATATGGCTGGAACAAGGAAAATGTTTTCACAGAGTTGTGCCAATACACCTGCGTGATGACATGCGGTATCCTGGTCCATTGTCAGGCTTCTTTAGAATAGTTTGCCAACCACAACTTTTCTAATTCTCTGACTTTCAAACAAAAGTGTGCGTAGGATTTTGGGGAGGCCATCGATTTTCCTCTTTGTTTGTGCCTTTACTATCGCTTTGATGTTGATTTTGTAGAATTAAATCATCTTCTGTAAAGTTTGGTAGGTGTTGGGCTGTGGTATAGATGTACAGCATCTCATTCTAAAAAATGCTTGTAGAAGATGCTGGGAATCTAGGTACCCTGGAGACTACAAAACATTGTGTACCCATAGATCTGGTAGAAGTAGCGCTGTCCCTAGTGGTTTATTCCCTGCATAGCCATGCTGAGGTCCAGCAGGCTTCCTTCCCTGCTGCATCCCTGTGCTGCTATGGAGTTGCAATGCTGAGGGAATAAGGCTTCCCTCCCTGTCCTGCTATTATCCTATATGAAAGGAGATTTTGCAAAGATGCTTTCTGATTATGAAGTCACTGTTTGATCGCTTGTGACTTGGAAATAGAGCATAACTGGTAACTGACTTTGTAACAGCCATCAGACCAACGCTCAGTGTGTTTTAAATATTTCCCTGTTTTGAATGAGATTTTCTGAAAAAGATTCTTGCATTTGTGGCAGCAGGAATGTGCCAAGTACACACTGTTACACTTGTGTCGATTTAATAGCACAACTGTTTAAATGATTTCATATTACTTTCCTTCTATTGGAGTAAAACACTTTTTTTTTTCCCTTTTTTTTCTTTTCAAATATAATATTGGAAAAGGAGAGAGATGCTGAAATTGATGGGCAGAAGCCAGCAAGTTGGCAAGCACTTGATAGCAGGGATCATCAGAGGTGATAATGCATGTGATACTCTGCACAAAAGTGGCTGGTACTGTTGGTGTTAGAAATTTGCACTTAAGAGAAGAATGGAAGAAGAATTGCAAAATCATGGAGCTGTCTTTCAGTCCACATTTTTGCATGGAGATATTTGCAAGGGTTTGGTTTTGTGGTGTCACTTTTCGGTATTGCAACCATTTCAAGACACAGAGATAGACTGAAGGCTATGTGACACCCTTTCTGCTAGTTTCCTCCTTGTCCTGGTCACTTACCATTTAAGAGGGAGTGAGAAGTACATGCCCCAGAGGATGGCTATCTGGTTGCCTTTCATCTCCATTTACCCCTGATAGATGTAAACTCTGCTGGTAGCATGATCTCAGCCTGGTGCTGTATGTGTAGCACCCATCAGTAAGCCACTCATGTTTCCAGTTGCTGAGTAGGTTGGTTTGTAAAGGATGTGCTTGAGGTTAAGAGCAAGGTGAGCAGTGATTCACATGGTGCTTGTTTGCAAACTCTTGGAAAAGCGTCAGTATATTTTTCCTCATGTGGTTTTCCACTGTGAGGCTTTGGGTCTGACCATGCTGAAGTTGTTTCCAGTGGCTGCTGGGAGGTGAGGTTGACTGGGGAGAGCAGGACTGGACAAGCTGTTCTTCTGTTCGGGAATAAACCACTCTGTGAAGTGGCTGAAGCCATAACTGCTGGGGGTAACCCTAGAAAGGTGTTGTAGCTTGTGTGCAAGTGAGCCTACTTTGTTACGTTTCTAGTGAGCAGCCTTTGGAGTTCCTTAATGAACTGAGTATACTGCTTGGAGACCTAATGCAAACATGGCAGGTGACCAGTCCTTACTGCTTTTGAGGACACAGGCCTGCTTTGCTTACTGCTGTTGCTGCCGTGCCCCATTTGCAGTGAAAATAGAGCTGCAAAGCTCCACAGGAGCCAGAACAAGATGGGGATAGGAACCAGCAGTGAGTGCTGAGGCAGAGATTGCCCCTTTCAGATTGAGAGAAGTTTATCTGAAGTGTTTGTGAAATGGCATATTCAGTAAAGCGGCTAAGAGGGAGGGAAAAAAAATGTTCCCAAACAGACCTATTACAGCATAATTTGATTGTTTTATTAATATTTCTCCTGATCACTTCTTAGTGCAGATTTTCCACGCCTATTGTGATCATTCTTCATTCTTTTGTCTTTGACATGTTTATTTACATATGTATTTATTTATCCCTGTTTGCTAGTTTCACCAACTCTGCCCTGTCCTTAAATTCTTCCCAGACTTCCCATAGCTTATTCCTCATTTAATTCAAGATTACAAGGTTTGCAAGACTGTGGACTGCAGTGTCTGTCACCTCTTATGTTCTTACAGAGCTCAAAGTTTTCATTGTCTAATCCTAATTTATGAAGACATACAAAGTGTAAAGCTGTCTGAAATATCGTGTTATCAGTAACTGAGTAATTTTTTAGTAGCAATGTGAATAGTAGTGTGATGAAATCCAGCTTTTTTTTTTCTTTGTTGTGTTTTCTCCAACTGAAAGGGAGAATGGGTCGCTGCTTCCAAGAGAGCTTCAGATTCTAGAGATGTGATGATTTTAAACTCCCGTTCTTTAACAGAGCAGGAAATGCTTGCTTGAAGCTACTCTAATCTGAGAGCTTTTTGCAAAACAGAGCCTCTGTGAGTATGAACAAAATGGTCCATATGGACCTTTTTTCCTTAATGTATGAAGCTGACAGCTTGTAGATCAAGCACATTCACCATTTTGACATTAGAAAAAAGGAGGGATACTCAGTGTATGTCAGCAGGCTCAAATAATGAGTGCTGTCAGCTTTTCAGCCTTCCTTCTTCAGATAAAATTTTAGGTATGGTTCCTGGGTCTAGATGCTTCGTGCTGTTAAAAGGTGTTTTCCTTACAGCTTGTTGTCAGCTTGATGGTAAGAAAGGAAAGAGCTGGGGCTCCTAACTTGTTCCATTAGAAACTTACCAAAAATTGAGACCATGCTGAAAGTAAAATGTATGTTTTGTGTACTTATTTGCTGTCTGTGTTTCTTCTGATGTTGACACTATCTTCTACGTAGTAACAGAAGATGCCTAAATATTCTGAAAGTAGGAGAATGGTTGTGGATTTTTTTTTTTTTTAACATGATTTAGCTGAAAGAATTTTTGCTGTGTTTTGGAGTGGTTGGAAAAAGAACTTCTTTCTCAGTAAACTACAAAATCTGGATGGCTTGACCCTCTCCTCCATGGATACAGAACTATCTTACCTCACTATGTATTCTTAGAACATGCATGAATTTTGTTGCTTGAATTTGTAGTCAAAGTAAGACTTACCTGTCCTCTTTCTCTTCAGTCAGCTTACATACATTGTGTTGAAGCGTCCAGAAGAGCTGTTAGGGCTGCTTAAATGCTTGCCATGAAGCATCCGGGCTTTTGTCTG